GCAATATTGAAATTAGCTTGAATTCTTCATAACCTCTGAATAGTGGGTGACCCAACAGGTAACGGGTTGTCTAGTTCTAGATTAAAAAGTTAATTTAGATTTATTTCCTAATTTTTAGGATAATTACGAGGTTGGTCAAATTGATCAACACCATATAGAGTTAATATTGATTAAATAGAAAATTTTATTAAAAAAAAACGTTTGATGATTATCTAGTAGAATGTAGAGATTACGCAAAATGAAACTTGATAAATTTCAGATAAAGAAAAGTATTTTTAGTCTTAAAATCAAAATGAAGGCATACACACTATAAGCTTTCAGTAAACCTTTGGTACACAAATATTTATAATTTTTAATTAAGTATTTTCCTAAAAATTGTCCATAAATATACAAAGTCAAAATGCTGAGTGGAAGTTGCAGAGGCATTGCTAAGTATATAAAAGATTTGGAGCTCAGGCCAGAACTCTAAAGACTTTTTAGCACTTCAGTATGATATTGATCATAGTTTTCTATTCTGCCTTTTCAAGAGCACCAAATGGATTTGGGACACGAGCCCCATGTGCCACTGCCTAGTGACACCTCTGGAAAGGTGATTTTCAAACGATTAAAAATACTTTTCTCATTTGACAATTTTCAAATTTCAGTGGCATAATCTCTAAAACATTTATGTTTTACCTGTTGTTTTCTCTACCCATTTGGAAATAAATCTAAATTACCCTTTTTTTTTTCTAAAATGACTACAAATTGTAACAGGAAACCACAACTGTTTATCCTAAATAGCTCAGAACCATATACATCTATTTACACTTAATTTTGTTTTACTGCCCTTTGAACCATGTCTAACTCATAATCATGACACACAACTTGTCAATCACTTGGCTAAGGTGCAGCTTATGTTTGTTTGTTTGTTTGGAATTAAGCTCAAAGCTACACAATGGGCTATCTGTGCTCTGCCCACCACAGGTATCAAAACCCAGTTTCTAGCATTGTAAGTCAGCAGACATATCACTGTGCCACTGGGGGGCTTATCTTATCTAACCTTATCAGTTTCTAATTCTTACGTTTTTATCACTTTTATAACAATAAATAAAGAATAGATGTGAAAAACAAGAAATAAAGTACTTACCTGGTTTTTTTTTTGCTGTTGACTGTCAATGAAACTTAAGCCTATTTTTTTCTTTTTATACTAATGGGATTACTATAATAAATATTTTTTTATTCAATTAAATAATACACCAAAGAACACAGAATAATAACATGCAAAAAGCAAACAGTGTCCTATAACTATCCTAATGCTTCCGAATCTCTAACTATGCAATAAGAGCCTTTAAAAATTCAACTAAACTTGTCAATGTGTTTCCCCATGAGTGTAAATTTGAAACTCAATGCTGAAATAAACACACTTTGTACAGAAAATAACATAATATACTACATCACTTGATAGATTAAAACTCTGGCTTTCTATTGATTATAAGTATTGCCTCATTATAATGCTACCATTAGGAGCCATGTGCACCCTAGAACGATATAGGTAGGGAACCATTATAACCAACTATTCAAGAACGCACTCATGTTGAACAAGTACAGATTTAATAGACTACTAAAGTAATCAATTAGATAAAATAATTGTTTATTTACATGAGGAAAATATATATAAAAAGAATACAGACAAGATAAGATACAACAATATAAGATAAAATATGAATACAAACTTTCCAATATTACAGGAACAAAGCACACTCATGTTTACTTATAAAGTCTGATACTTTGGTCTGATTCATTTGGTTTTGAGCCTCTTTCCACACGTAATGTAGAGCATTTTGCATGAGCATCACAATTACTGGAATTGCCATTGGTTGTTACTCCATTCAATAAAAAACTTCTTCGAGGTGTTTAGCTAAACAATAATCTAAACCTGCTGCAATTAACGACATCTCTATTTCCTTCTAACACTAAGCAGTATCTTGGTTTCACCTGTAAACAATTCTTGCCCTCTCCGCAAGTGCAACCATTTCCTCTTTAACTCTCTCAACATGGGCTCAGTCGATTTGACCGACAACATGACCTCTTTGTATCTGTTTAGTCTTTATAGTTTTGATACTACTAACTTCTAATATAGTATGTATAACTTCACAAAATTTGGCAGACTTTCAGTAAACATAAGCTTTTCTCATACAAAAAATCATATTTTAGTGAAGTATGTTTAATAAGCTAAAAAAAGATTTGTCTATGAATATATAGAGTATTTGTTTTGACTAGTCTGTGTGCAAAGAAATTTTTATGTTAAGATTAAAAATACTTTTCTTCACCTCAAAAATCTCAAACTTCATTTGTGTAATTTCTAAAACCTCTTAAATAAATTTCAAATGTTTGTTTTCAGTAAAACATTACATTTTATCTGTTATTTTCTCTACCCTAACTCTATACATAGTTGGTCAATTTGACTGACCTTGTAAACACCAAAAAATCTTAACTATTCTTTTTTTCTACCTAAAATGACTTCAAATTGTAACATGAAACTACTTTCATTTATCCTAAGTACCTTAAACTCATAACAGTATACATCTATTTACATATATTTTTATTGTCTTATTGCCCTTTGAACCGTGTATACCTACAATTCGCACCATTTATAAGTTGTAAATCACTTGGGGAATGTGGAGCTCGCATTATGCTATTGAATTACATTACCCATGAGCTGCTTGCGTACATGCCTTGTGAAACATTTTTATTATATTATTACTTATTTTACCTAATCTAATTTTAACTAAACTAAAGAGATCCCTATTTCTACATTTCACATTTTAGTTACTGTCGATGACACTTAACCCCACTTTTGCTATACTAATGGTAGTAATGCACTAAACAATTTTTATTTAAATAGAACATAAAATAATAACATGCAAAAAGCAGACAATTTCCCCTATCTATCACAATTTTTCTGCCTTTCTAACTATGCAACAAGAGGCATTACAAATTCATCCAAGATAGTCAATATCTTTCCCATGGGAATGAAACTTGTACCAACAGAGAAATTGACAATTCTCCATTCAGAATATGATGTAATACAATACGTCATTTAAAAGAGGAAAATCTTGGCTTTCAATTGGTTATACATAACAAAAAATCGTGAAAGGGAGGATGTGACAGGTGGGTATGGCAAGAGGGAGCCAATTTTCTATTTGATGGCTCTGTAACCAAACAGAATTGAAGACTATAAAAATTATGGTTTGTTTGAGCAATAACGATTTTATAGTGAGTAATTTACATTAAATTTTGTACTTATTGGAGGGATGGTGAATAAAATAGAGAAGAGTGGATGCCTAGATAAAATATGTCACATTTCTCACACCAGGGGAAATTCAGGATTTATTTAAATATTGCCATATAAAATTAAGAACTTATAACTTATTTACAATTAAAAATATGGATTATTAGCTATGATTTTATGCTATGCTAATGGTATACTATAAACAAAAAGTAGTTTAATTAAAATTTGAATGTAAGTCACTAAAATATTGTGACATGTGCAGTAAAAGTTGCCTGTGCAGAAAGAGTTAATGATGTCATTTATGACCAAATGAAATCCCCAATGGGTCCAATTTCTAAATTTTTGGGAGCCAAGGCACCTTGGCATTATATTTGAAAAAGTGTTATAACCAATGGTGTTATAATGAGGCAGTACTGTATAGTATAAAACATCAAAGAAAGCTATTGGCAATTTGTGAAAGAGATGATGTGAGAGGTATATGCATGTGAATTCAACCAATAAATTCATAACTGGAAAAATATTTTGTATGTTTTTAATTCAATAAAGTTTGACAGACACAACATAATGAAATAATGAAACACAATAATGAATCCTAGTTTGTATGGTCTAAATAACATACATCACTAATGAACATAAATATTACAATAATAAAATTACAATACCATTTTCAGAAACTACACCTAACTGATAAAAGCAGTCACAACCAATTTCTTAATGAAGCATGTAAGATTTGAAAACTCATTAAAAAAAGTTCTTTGATTCACATTATATGATTTAACAAGAAAAATAACAAGCTGAATGGTTACTAACTTACCCTGTAAAGGAAGCTTTCTTCAAAGGATGCTGGGTTGTCTACCCATTGGAACATAGGAGGTGACGACCCCATAACTTGCCATCTTCCGATAAGAAGAAGTGACCCCCCAGCTGCCAACACCACATGGCGTAACAAGAGTGACTGTAACCATTGCTAGAAGGTCAAAGAATTACAATTCACCAGAAAAAAAAATTACTTATGATGGCAAACATTCAAAAGTTATAATTTTCCTACACTGAAAATATATTTCCAACAGGTACTTACTTCACCTCACATACATAGCTATTCTCGTTCAGTGCTGCCCTCTATTTGCAAACTTTTTTTTGCATGCCACAAGCCATTCATTCCTACGTACCACCCGGTTCACATGGTTTAACTGATTCTCCCATGAAAATTGTCATGCGACAAACCTCCACAACTAGACATGCCCCACACACACACGTAACTCCCTCTATGCTATTCTACGTAACTATCACTTCGGCTGAAACCTAAGTACCGGTGGACAGTGGGAGGAAGGTTAGTATGTGTGAGCAGAAGTCAGTACCTGTGGGAAATTATAACTTATACATAGCTGGAATCCCACACTGAATAGGAAGAGGGACTGGTACGAGGGAGAGAATAGAAGCATCCTTT